ACTAACTAACTTTGTGCATCATAGCAAAGAGTGTTCATGATAATAGTTTCGAAACGGTCGTTTGCCTCATGCTTATCTTATAATGCGAAAAGGAGAAATATAATATATTTTGAAGTTGTTTTATTTTTCAAAGAAAGCAAACGCCAATTTTATTTTTTGATATGTTGTTAAGCTATAAAAGCACTATATAAACAAATTTTAAAAATTAAAAAACGTTTGGTTCTTCATAGTTAAAAATGGCGCCAAACAAAAGAAGTTTTTCATTTTTTTGACATTTTGAGCTCCGATAGCTCCAAAAATTCAATACAGATTTTAACGAAATTTTGTGATTTATTTATGACTATAAGGTACTTCTAAAATAACAAAAAATATTTATTTATTTTGCGATAGATTTTGAGCTACGCTGTTTTGAAATCGGTGAAATTTTCAAAAAATTCATTTTTTTCTAGATTTTTTGTTCAAAATTTCTTTTGATTCGAAACAATAACATTTATTTTTTTTGTTATTACATTGTTTCACTGATATGCACAAAAAATTTCATCAAGATATGTTGGCTAGTTCAAGAGATATAGCGTTCTACATAGGTACAAGTTTTGAAAAAAATCGCTCAAAAATTTGGGGATGCTGTCACAAAAATCTTCATAACTTGAAAAATAATTGAAATTTTTTTATAAAAATTTTATTTTGTCGATGAAATACATTGAGGTACTTACTGTTCAAATTTTAAAAAAATCGGAGATGGTCGGGCGTGGACTTTTTTTTAAATGGTTCAAGTTGACGGAGAATGACCCACGTTCATTTATTTTTATTTAATTGTTTACTTTTATTTATTTATTATTTTAATATTATATAGAGCTAATATTATATAGAGTTAATGTTATATAGAGCTAATGTTATATAGAGCTAATTTAAATATTATGTAGAGCTAATATTATATAGAGCTAATTAATTTAAATTTTATATAGAGTTAATATTAAATAGAGCTAATTTAAGTATTATATTAAGCTAATATTATATAGAGCTAATGTTACATAGAGCTAATTAATTTACATATTATATAGAGCTAATATTATATAGAGCTAATTTAAATTTTATAAAAGAAAATAAAATTCTAAATAATATGAAACCCTCATATACATATATATATATATATATATATATATATGTGTGTGTGTGTGTGTGTGTGTGTGTGTGTATATATATATATATATATATATATCACAATATTACTAATAAGGTAAGATCACAAGTACAAACTAAGGTAAAATCACGTTCAAATGTTTAAAAGCAGAGTTTGTCCAAAAAACATCAAATAAATGATAAAACATTAAAATGAAAACAAATAAATGAAAACATGAAAACAAATAAATAAAAACATTAAATGAAACATTAAAAACCGGTGAAAATTAAATGTAAATTAATTTAGGCGATATTATACACCTATCAAAACATATATGAATTTCGTTCTACAACTTTATATTTTTAGCTGACATTATATAACCCATACGCACACACACACACACACACACACCACATTACATTACATTAATATTTGTTAGGTAAGTTGGATAGGGTAATATTAATTATAGATAGGAAACATAGAACATTAATGTAGTTGAGTAGGTAAGCAGTGTATGTTTTATTACACGCATTAGCGTATTTATTACACACAGCACATACAATTGCACCGGTGAATACATACACGCATTACGTTTGTTGAGCGTAATTTTAATTTCATTACACATTCTAATTTATTATTACTAAGGTTGAGAGTAATATAATTTTATAGGTAGATAAGGGCAATAATGTAATTCTAGGAACAATCTTGTAATGTAAATTAAATAAACGTCATAAGTCAATGTAATTCTAGGAACAATCTTGTAATGTAAATTAAATAAACGTCATAAGTGTACCAATAGGTAAGTTAATTATATTAAGTTTTACAATATTATTACTAAGTTGGAGCCCAAGGAATTATGTAGGTGGTAGGTCGGGTGCCTAATGGCGTATGAATTGGGTTCTTGAGTTTTGTAATTTTATGTAAGCTTGGGATAATTGTAAAGAGTAGGTAAGTTAAGGGTGCGTTACAGTGGGATGGCCCTGAATTTCGACATCCGGTGCATAGGTGATTAGGATGATCGATCAGTGGGGTAGACTCGGCAAGGATACATCCCACCTATCTCTTTTGCGTTCTAAACTCCTACTTTAGGCACTGATAAGTTTGAATGAAGAGGTCTGAAAACTGTAACTTGCCAACACACACACGACGCATGTACACACTTTAAGGTGTCGTAAGTCAGGTAATTTAATAAGTAGGCTAGTAGAGTTTTAAACTCCTTCATGAACGGCTGCCTTGACGTGGCGAGGGAGCTTCTCACTAAATGCCCTTCACGAGAGGCGCTTTTTAATTTCTTTAATTTAGAAAGTTTTGTAATTATTTAAACGTGCACACATACACAAACATACAAACACATACTTAAATAACTTGAAATGTTTTATAGTTGAAAATCAATTGCTCATTATATGGCATTGTAAGTATATGATATGGACGTTTTACGATTGAAACAAAATTTGTTGATTTTTTAGTTGTGCTAAATATTGAAATTAAAACTTTAAGTGTTACAAATAGTAGTTCATACAAATGTAACGTCGATCGACATTATATGGCTATCATATCTTTTTTACAGAAACGCAGCGCTATGGTTTGGTTCACTTTTAAATGAACTTTCAAATGACCCTAGTGCTTCAACCTTAACATATCAACACAAATTTTTTCTGCTCGGTGCGCTCTAAAAATGGCTTCAAAATCACTTTTATTCGCAAGGACATTGTTGAGAAACTTTCAAAAAGTACATAAAAATTAGTCATTAAACTAAATTTTTGTCTAAAATTGAACGTCATTAAATTATTTTTGAAATTTTTGATTTTAATTAAAGGTTGATGTGCCGTTGTCTGTCAGGTTCTTGAGCACTTCCAATGTTTTGCGATCTGATGATAAAGTTTGTTTTTAATATTTATAATGAACATCGTGATTATTTTATTGTGAATGGTTTTATTTTATAAGTTCTATATGATGTTACTAAGTCTCAAGTTTCTTATTTTTGATCTAAGAAATGTCTAATTTTTAATTTTTACAAACAATGCTACACTGACTACAGAAAGTACCTAAGAAGGTTTGGGAATTAGGAAAGTTGAACCACGTAGCCATAGCAGTGCCTGACATTGACAAGGCTTCAAACATGTACAAAAATATTTTAGGGGCCAAAGTCAGTGAGAAACATGTAAGTGTGCCGATCTACCTCTATTGCTCATAACATTCATTAATGTTTTATTTTTACTTTTACTTCATTTTTTTATATTTCCAACTTTTTTTTCTAACTGGAAGGAACAACCTGAACACGGTGTCTACACAGTTTTCGTTCAGCTTGGGGACACCAAGATTGAGGTAATTACATATTCAAGAACCTAAATTTATTTAAAATGTGTCAGCTAGTTGTACAACTCATCAACAATTTTACTTATTGCACTAAAATTAAGTAAAAAAGATATAAAAAAAATAAATGAAAATATTTTTGTTTCCAATCCAGTTGTTGTACCCACTCGGAGAGAAGAGTCCTATCCAGGGATTCCTGGATAAGAATCCTTCAGGAGGATTGCACCACATCTGCCTCGAGGTAAGGATTCATATGGTTTCCTTTCAGTGTTCAAATTATATTTTTATGTCTTTGTTAATATTTTCAAATAAGTAATTTATAATTTTTTAAAACTTAAAGTTTAACCAATATTTTTTAAAAAATCATATGATGTAAATTTATTTGGGCCAAAATTTGATAAATTTTATTTTGATACATTTCTATTTTTTTTTATATAAAAACAGGTAAGCAACATTGAGGAGGCCATGAAGGATGTAAGGAGCTACAAAATTAGGACGCTGGGTGACAAAGCAAAAATTGGAGCCCATGGAAAGCCCGTCATTTTCCTACATCCAAAAGACTGCAACGGCACACTCATTGAATTAGAGCAATTTTAACTTTGTGTTTCATTTCATTTTTTACCATTCGCGCGAAAAATTTTGAGTATTTAGACTTTTTAGTAATTTATTTTCATTTTTTTGACTTTACGTTTATTTGAATTTTGTTGAATTGGGTTGATTTTTAAACGCCTGTTACTCGAAGTTATTTTTTGATTATTAATTTTGTGACTTCTTATCATGTTTAACACGCGGCAGATGCTCCAGGGTTTTGAACTTGCAATCTTACTGAAGATAATTTTTCTTTGTTTTAAAAGAATTCAAAAAATTCTTTGTTTTCGTTCATTGTTCTTATTAATATGCCCGTATAAGTTCGTTTAACGTTTAATTCAAGAAGTTGAGCGAAGACAAAATAGCGAACAATATTTTTCAGCAAAGAACTTTATAGAATGACGTCAGTTAAAAAGCTTTGTTACGTTCGATAATAATCCATCAACAACGCCAAGAATAAAAACAGAAAATTTTAATAACATTCTCCATATTATAAGATATAGGTCGAAATATAATTTATTTTAAAGTTAAATAGGTAATAAAACTTAAAACTGTTATCGACGTTAACCAAATTCGAATCATCAAAATCTTAACTTTAAATTTCTGACCCGCCGAGGATTAATGAAAATCTGTTGAAACGTTTGTTAGCTAAATCTGGGTCCAAAAACTGACTGTGGTATTTAAAATTTCATCGAATCGCGAAATTGCTGAGTAGTTTATCATCACTCAAAATGGCCTCAAAGGAGCAGGACAGAGGAGAGGAGTGCTGAAGAAGAGTAGGGCGATCATTCAAGGTCACAATACATCTCCAATGAACACCTCTTGCAAACGCACGTCGAACAGAGCGTTTAGCGAGCCGTCCATTAACAAATCTCCACCAACTTTTGAGATCCTATTCAATAACGAGCAAACAAGTAAACCTCGTCAAAACGGCCCAACGCAACTGAGAAGACGTCCAACTTTGAACATATGAAAATGTCCAAGAGAACTCACCAGCGACAGAGAGTATCAATTGATCTGGAATCTATGTTCTACAGAAATGGCTATCGACTCGGTGAAAAAATTGGGACTGGTTCTTTTGCTATTGTTAGAAAGGCTCTCAACTCGGCTACGGGAAAGCCTATGGCCGTCAAAATAATTGATCATAATCTCGCTACTAAGGAAGTCCAAGAAAAGTTTCTACCCAGAGAATTGGAAATCATAAGTACACTGAAACATCCCAACATAATAGAGGTCGAAAAAATCGTCAGGTTTGGTCCGTATACGTGCGTTATAATGGAGCAAGCGAAAGAAGGAGACCTGCTGGAATTTATCTTGAAAAAAGGTTGCATGGCAGAACCACCTGCCAAAAAAATTATTAACGGTATTGTAAAGGCCTTACAATATTGCCATTCAAACAATATCGCACACAGAGACCTCAAATGCGAAAATATACTACTGGGTGATCACGGAGATCCTAAATTATCAGATTTCGGTTTTGCAAGATGTGTAACAGATCCGATCAATAAAAAGAGATTACTGAGTCGTACGTTTTGCGGTAGTGCAGCTTATGTACCTCCAGAAGTGCTGAGAGGAACCCCGTACAATCCGATGATGTCGGACGTCTGGAGTCTCGGGGTCATATTTTTCATCGTCGTCACTGGCCTCATGCCATTCGACGATTCCAATCTCCCTAAAATGGTTGAAAGTCAAATTAAAAAGAAGTGGACCTTTCCGAAAAACTGCAAGGATAGACTATCATCCGAGTGCCAACATCTCATTAGAAAGATGCTGGAGCCAGACATCATGTTACGAGTAACGATAAATCAATTAGCCAATAATGAATGGTTAAAATCAGACACAACCGTAGACAAGTCAACGTGAACTATTTGATCGTAATATTTTACATTTAATAACATTTATTTATACATACTCGATATATAAACACAGACACTCACATGTAACGCATGCATTCATATGTTCACTTCCCTGGAAACATTTTTTGTAAGTATAAAAAATGCACATAACAGAGGATGCTATTACGTTCTAAAGCATTTAGCGATTACTATCCAAGAAAAGTGTTCTCTATTATCGTATTGAATTCGTCAGAGTTTACAATTTTTAACAATTCTTGCAAAATCCCCATTTAACAACTTTTTGATGCAACGAAAATAAGAATAAAATGATTTTAATATTTGATATGTCTTTTTTCATGCTAAAAATGTTAATTGATAGGAAGAAAAGCGTTTCTGAGAAATTTCTTAAAAATAAGAATTTATTTCGAGAAATAATCTTGATATTTAGAAAGATTTATACCATTTCTACCTATCAAATATAGTTAAAATGGACAATAACAACATCAATATCACTATTTTTACTATACTATACTAAAGCCACGATACCGCTAAGCAATCAGAGTACTATATAATATCAAATTAATGAAATTTTTGTTATAAAACTATGTAAAAAATGAAAAACCGACATACATGCAACCTTGTTCTCTATACCTATATTTAATTATTCTAGTTATTCCAGCAAATAACTAAATAAATCTTAAATAAATAACGAACTAATCATTCAATTAAACAATTAATTATGAATAAAAATTAATTCTTTCAATAATAATGGTATAATAAAAACCCAAGAAAAATATTTAAAATAATTAAGGTTCACAAAATGTTTCACGCCTTTTAATGGGATTTTTAACATTAGTTCCGGTTGCTGTCTTTTTTTTGTTTAATAATGAAATAGGGCCTCAGAGATATGATATTATTTTGAGATGAATTTAATTAAATTTTTTAATTTAAATAATTAATTCCTTAAAATCTATTATTTAGGATATTTATTTCATTTATTTAAAACATAATTTCGTAACCCAACTCCCTAATCTGTATTTATTTATTTAATTTTTAATTAATAAGTGGAAGTGATTTTTAATTAAAATAAAAATTAATGTTGAAATTAAAAAAACTGTATGCTTTTTGTTTACAATGTTGGTTTTTTTTATTTAATTAATAAATTTTTATATTATTTTGAAAGAGATTTTCATAATATTAGAACTGATGTTAACTTGGATTGGGGATTTTTGGGTTTAGTCTTCTTTTGTTGGATAATTAAATTCAATAATTTCATCCACTCACATTCTCCATTTTTAATTTTAATTATCTTACCAAATATTTCTCCCCAGTTCGTTCTTCATTTCATTCTTGAGTAGAAGACTGTTGCCTGTTCAGTTCACTAATTGATTGATTAGGATTGGTGTATGGCCGCCACAACAGCTGGCTACCGGAAAGATTTTGAGGCATTTGATGAAGTTAGGTTCCAAAAAACACCGAGACAGATGCCTGAAAGAACAAATCAGGGTTTGTCTAACAGTCGAAGTAGTGGGTCCAATAGCTCGGGCATCATGATGGTTGGCCCTAATTTTAGAGTTGGTAGAAAAATAGGCAGTGGTAATTTTGGGGAGCTGAGATTAGGTTAGTTGGTTTAAACATTAAAAAGAGTTGATTAATTCAATTTTTAAATCAAATTTAAGAATTACCTCAAAATTTACATAATTTTTACCTAATTTTGTTGATCACATTATTTCCTCAATGACAAGTAGATTGAATTCTATTTTATTGATATTTCACTAATTACAGGGAAGAATTTATACACAAATGAACATGTTGCCATAAAACTTGTAAGAATTTCTGGCAAATTTTTATTAAATCAAGTTTATTCTCATTTAGAATAAATACTCATTCAACATGCCAATTAGTTTTTTTTACCCTCTTAGCTATTCACTCATTTTGATTGTCAAATCAATTTACAATAACATTCTAGCTTATTAATTAATTATATATTTATATTTATTTACAAATATGTTATAATTTACCTATAATTATCATTATATAATAATTATAATTAGTAACTATAATAATGAATAATTACTCCAGGAACCAATGAAAACACGGGCCCCACAGCTTCATCTCGAATACAGATTTTATAAAATGCTGGGACAAACAGGTTTTTGAAACATTTACTTATTTATATTGTCATTACTGGCTAAGGTGTCATACTCTGCTGTTGTAGTGTCTGGGTTCGACTGCAAAGAGATTCCCACCTATAACATGCAAACTGTGCGTGTGTGATGCATTGAGTCACATGTATTTATATATCTTACATACACATAAGGAAGAATTGTAAAAAGTGAAATAAAATGAAATTAAAAGTATTCTGTTGCAGCTTGTAATGCACTTCTGTTTTTGAGATATTTTTTTTATAAAGTTGATGTAACTAATCGTTTGTGAAGAAATTTTTTGCTGTTTCCTGGATTAACTGGGCAGTATATTCATGTATTATGTAATATTAGTTTAAAATTTCATACTGACTTGAATCTACTGATATAAATCATTTATGTCAAATGAGGAATCATTTAGTTAACAGAATGAATAATTTTGAAATTATGCCTGAAATGAGATTTATATACTAACAATAAATAAATTTACATTTTAAAGATGATTTTTTTACGTCAGAGGGCATTCCAATAATATATTACTTTGGTCCTTGTTCCAAGTACAATGCCATCGTCCTTGAACTTCTTGGCTCAACACTCGAAGACCTCTTCGACCTCTGCGAGAGAAAATTTTCTGTAAAAACTGTCTGCATGATCGCCTATCAGCTGGTTAGTGGGGCCCAGGTTAGGTAGATGCATAAGAAATGTATTTTGGTTTGATTAAATTGATATTTAGTGGATTGGTGCTGTTTCTTGTTAGATTGAATGGGGATGGTTATGTTATATGTAACCAGATGATGATTAGTAATGTGATGTGATGTTTTTTGGGAATGGTTATGTTTACTGATAAGTTTAAGAATAGGTGTGTTGCTTCTTGTTTCTTTATTCTTGTCATCCATGTGAGTTCTGTTTTATTGTTCTAATGTTTATTTCATATGCACTTGTCCAAGTAGAAATTGATTCAAAGTTATTTGTCAGTAGGTTTTCTTTTAATTTCATTTTTGTTTTCCAATTGTGAAATTTTTGTTCAAGTTTAAAAAATATTCACTGAGCGTTAATAATGTTCATCATTTTCTTTGCTCCCTTTAATCTGCATGCCCTAGAACGTGAACAGTTTTTTAATATTTTGTGTATGACTATAACCATGAATGAACCTGACCTTTTCATCTGCTCATTTATCACTGATGTGGTTTTTCTTGTTTTAATCATCAGCCCATTCATCATTATCATTAGCATAATTATTATTTCTCATCTTAATTCTCTTCATCGTCATCTTCACCATCACTATTGCTTCAGTTGTGGTTGTTTCCATCATCAGCTTGTCATTTTATCATTTCCCATCTTGCTCCATTTCATTGTCACATCAACACATCACCATTGAAGATAACTCGGATGGAGTACGTTCATTCGAAGCACCTCATCTTCCGAGATGTCAAACCAGAGAACTTCCTAATAGGTCGGCACTCGACGAAGAAGGACAAGATCATCCACATCATCGACTTTGGCCTGGCCAAGGAATTCATCGACCCCACAACGCGCAAGCACATTCCATATAGGGAGCACAAAAATCTTACAGGGACCGCACGGTACATGAGCATCAATACACATCTTGGAAAAGGTCTTGCTTTATCTTTTTTCTTTTAAGATTTTTTTTTAATTATTATTAATTTAAATATTAGACATTTAGGTATTAATGGCTTCCTACATTTATTTCTATAGATCAAATAACAAATTCTTATTTTTCTCTATACAAAACAGAACAAAGTCGACGGGACGATTTAGAATCTTTGGGTCACATGTTCATGTACTTCCTACGGGGCAGTCTACCGTGGCAGGGCCTCAAGGCAGACACCATAAAGGAAAGGTACCAGAAGATCGGGGATACCAAGAGGGACACACCTGTCGAAGTTCTCTGCTCCGGATATCCAGGTTTGTGGGGTGTACTTTTATTACCTGCTGAATTAAGACTGTTACCAAAATATGTGCTTGAAAAAAAGTACTAAACGTAAATCACTCAAGTTACTCAATCATATGACTTTACATTTTGCAGAAGAATTTGCGACATACCTTCGATATACTCGGCAGTTGGACTTTTTTGAGGCTCCAAACTATGAATACATGAGGAACCTCTTTGCTGATCTCATGACATCTAGTGGTTGGACCATGGATTGGCACTTTGACTGGGAAAGCAGATTTAACGTTAGTTGCTTCTCTATACAAATACCTACATATACAAATACCTGCATATACAAATATCTACGTATACAAATACCTACATATACCAATACTTACATATACAAATACCTACATATACAAACACCCACCTACTTGGAAATATAAAACTTTATAAAAACAATTGGTTCTCTATCATTGTTATCAGATTTTTTTTCAAAGATGTTATTAAATGTTTTTTTTTCCAAATTACTTTTTTGTCCTTCACACACTGCTGATGCACAAATTTGAATAATGCATTTTTATCTTATTCAAACACTATGTACTTTTAATATGAATTTGCACTTTTATCACAGTCTAACACTCACTCGCACACACGCACCCATACACAAGCACGCACGAAACCAAAGACAAACATTGAAGACCTGTTTACAAATTTCACACACACACACATGCTTATGCATGCATTTTGCTACATAGCAACATACAGTTTGAAGTGTTTATTTGTTTGTTTGACTGTTTGTATGTCTGCCTATTTTTCAGTTATACTGTCTTCTTGTATGTATGTATGTATGTGTGTGTGTCGGTGTGTGTATGTGCATTCTGTTTATTTGTATCAATGTTCATTTATATGACCAAGTTTTTGTATATTTATATGCGATTTTGCTCTTTGTATAAAAGATGTTTGCTTGTTGTATATATTTTTTGTATACACGTTTGTTTATTTTGTTTAATTATTATTTTGTTTAATTATTTTGTATGTTGTGTTTATACATCATACAAATATGTATTATTTGTTTGTTATGTTTATGTTTATATACCAGACGTTTGTGCAAACGTATGCATGTTGTATGTACACCAACGAAGTTTGAACATGTTTTGCATATGTTATGTGTGTGTGTGAGTGTGTGTGCGTGCGTGTGTGTGTATGTATTTGCATATGTACATGTATAAGTATAGGTACGTTATGTGCATGAAATAGTGTTTTTGCAAGCATGTACATGTTGAATTTGTTAGTTGAGATTCTTATTTCCCTAACCTTTTGTTTATAAATCACCTTGTGTTTTGTTTGTTTTCTGCTTGTTTTCACAATTTGTTCACAGTAGTTAATTCTCACATTTTTTTCCATTATTTTTTCAATTTCCTCAAGTGTGTGCGGTGTTGATTTAACTGAAAAGATATCGTTACCCATTCAATTCTTCTTTTGCTTTTTTTTTTTTATAATTTTTTACCGCTATAACTAAGATGCAACATTGTTATTTTTGGATGTTTGGTTGGTTGTTTGTTTGTTTGTCTGTTTGTTTGTTTGACTGTTCGTTCGTTCGTTTGTCTGTTTGTTTTTTTTTGACTGCCTGTTTGTTTGTCTGTCTGTCTGTTTGTTCGTTTGTCTGTCTGTTTGTTTGTTTGTTTGTCTGTTTGTTTGTTTCACTGTTTGTTTGTTTGTTTGCTTGCTGTTGCTTTTCACTTTTATTTCAAACTAATTGGCCATTATTTCCTCTGTAATCAAACCAATTAGTGCTTAGTTACTGTTGTAATCACCGTCATCATTTTATTATTATTTTTGTGTCTGTTGCGTTATTATTATTATTATGGTTATTATTGATATTTTCGTTTATGCTAATGATAAGGGTGATAACGGCGCTGATAGTTATGATGATAAGGCTGATTTATATAATGTCTGATTGTGGAATTGAAATGATGACGTGGGCGACGATGATGACGATGACGATCTAAAAATGATGTGAATGTTATTAGCTATGGTTGATATTTGCAGTTTGTCATCTCCATAATCATTGCTTGGTTTCTAAATTGGTTTCATCATCATCGCTATTATCACTATATTATCATCTACATCATCATCGTCGTCACCATCATCACCACCACCACCTTCATCATCGTCATCATCACAGACCGCTGCGTCAAAATCAACCATGAGCACTCCAAAGCAGCATGAAGAAAAACCGGAAAAAGTATGTATTTTTCCCGCGCTCCTCGTTATGTTAATTTATGTTAATCAGCCGGGCCTCATAATAATTTTAATATTCATTCAATCAATTCGAATTTAATATTAATTAGCTTGTCTCAATTAGCCAGCTTATCATCATATGTGTGTGAAGAATTTAGGATTGCCTATGTAATTAATACTACCCACCTCTAGAATATTAAACAATATGTGATCACTGCAAATAATGATGCAAGTGTTATGTGCGTAGGAACGTGTGCGTGTGTGTGTGTCAGTACGTGTGTGTTTATCTGTGCGTGTGTGTGTGCTGTGTGTATAATAGTTCATCAAGTTGTATAGTAGTAAGTAATAAAATGTTTTATTACTTCACTGACAAGTGATTCTTAAATAACCTAACTAATAATACTACTACATTACTAATCTTATCAAAATACAATATTAACATCTTATTGTGTCATCATGTTATGATTATTATAGTTCATGTTTCATTTGGTGATGGTTATGTTGTGTGCGGGCGTGTGTATGCGTGCGTGTGTTTGTACGTGCGTGCGTGCATGTGTGTGTGTTAATGCTATCATCATCGTCGTCGTCGTCATCACAATGATGATGATGATTATTATAATTAACATTGTATGTAATTATCTTCTTCAGTATAGTCATCATTGCTTATATTTCTATTAATGATACTGTTTAATTAAGTTCTTGGAGTATTATAGTAGTGTAGGTAATAATGATAATTTATGTTAATTTATGCTAATTAATATTAATAATTTACGCTAATGTTACAGCCATCTGTTAACATAACAAGTGGCAACGGCGGCCTGCATACCAACCCCATCTTATCTAACATCAACAACAACAGTAACAACAACAACTATAGCAACATTAATAACAACAACAACAACAATAATAATAATAATAATAATATCATACAAGATACAAATATTATTGATACAAATAGTGGAGATACAAAGTGAGTTGATTGTATCTTTTTTAAATTTTTTTGTGGTGTATGTTTGTGTACATCTATGTGGTGGTGTCTGTGTATGTGCACGTGTGTGTGTGTGCACGTGTGTGTGTCTGTCTGTGTGTGTGTACTGCATGAGTGTGATATTCTGTGGTACTATGTTTATATTATGTTTGGAGTATTTGTTGGTGTTATACTGTTACAATAAGGTTATGGTTTTAATGTTAATAACAGTGTTATTTGTTGTGGTTATACTTGTTATTGTCATATTAATGTCATTTCGTTGATAAATATGTTATTTTTTCCTTTATTTTCATCAAAAGGTGTTGTTTCTTTAAGAAGCGTAAGAGTAGAAGATAACCACGACGCCGATGACATCAACAACGACAACAACAACAACACATCAACACGATGAAAACAACACACGCAAACGAACAAACGACGCACTACAAACAAACATTTTGAAAACATCAATCATACTTTTTTTTATACTCAATGACATCAGGGATGTCAAAAAAACTGCACTGACGACATCATATACAATCCTAACAATAGCAACAACAATGATGATGTACGTTGGTTGGTGTGTGAGTGTATGCGTGTACGTGCGTGAATACACATACGTATTTTATTTGACAAACACGCAACAACACCAACAAACAACAACACCAACAAACAACAACGAACAACAACAACAAACAACAACACCAATAAACAACAACACCAACCGACAACAACAATAACTGATATGCATTAACCGATCAGACTGTTGTTTGTTTGGCGAACCTATATCGTACACACACGTGTTTTTCCATTGATGACGTCATTTCCATTGCCATTTTTAGACATTAAATTACGATACATCAAGAAGTTACATCTCTATTACGTCACTATATACTTTTTCATTTCATCAGCATGTTTATATATTCGCATCACAGGTTTACAGTTTAATACATGATGTTTTAATAAACCATTGACAATACGTGTTATGACCGTATTTATGCTTCAGAGTAACAACAATAATAAACAATGTTTCAATTTAATAATAACAATAAAAATAAACAGAGTAACATTAATAATAACAATTCTTAAATTTAATAATAATAATAATAATTGCTGACAATGTATGTGTTTCGTTACACGAACAATAAACAAAACTGAACAATGACATCAAAAAACAACAATAATAAAAATAATGATGATGATGACATCAACAACAATAACAATATCCACGACAGTAATTCTTTCCAACGAAAAATGGCAAACAGTATGTAAATAAAAATGTATATATATATACATATGTATGTATATATATATACAGAAAACAATTTTTTAATTGTTATTATTATTATTGTTATTACATTAGCTTGGTATTATTAATATTAATATTACTATATTTTTATTTTTGTATATATATATATATATGTGTGTGTGTATATGCTTGTGTGTATTTGCATTGCCAATTCTATTGTTTTATCTTCTCTGGCCATGATGATGATGGTGAAGATGATAATGGTTGTGATGGTGATATCTCTAAGCCATTGTTCAGCAGTTACATTGAATTTTATTCTTTTTCTTTTGTGGTTCATCGTCCGTCTATTAATCATTCATTCGTTTGCCCTTTCATTCATTCATTCATTCATTCATTCATTCATTCATTCATTCACCTATCCACATATTCTTCTCTTATATTATCATCTATCAAATTGTTACACTTGCTGATTTGATCATTCTTCCTTTATTTGTTTATTTGTTTATTTGTTCATTCGATCGTTCATCTATCATCTTTATTCGTCATCACATCTCTCTTTCCATCGTCATCATCATCATTATCATCATCATTGCCATCACCATCATCATCATCATCGACCAATTAATGACAACATCTTAATCACTTATTCGCTGATGATGATGAGGATGGTGATGATCACAACGATCGAAGCTGATGATGATGATGATGGTAATGGCAAGGCGATTATGATAACGATATGGTGAATGTTATGTGTCTATGTACAAATTATTTTTATGGTTGTATGCAAAACTTTGTATAATAAATGTTTAAAAATACATTTTTTACATCTGTACTTACACACGCGCGCATACACACACACACACACACACATATATATATATATATATATATATATATATATATATATATGTATATATATATATATACCTATAGAAATACCTACATTCTTTTATACACACATGTATGCACTTTTTCGTTCACTCATT